GCAAGATTAGGTCCTAAAACATGCAGATATTCGAATTTTAGAAAAGATAAAATTTTGATATTTTTTTCCATAAATTTTTATCATAATTTCTAACCTTTTTACCCCCATGATATGCGAAATTAACAATTTTACGAAAAATTACAGAAATTGTTTTTCTTAAAATGCTCTAAATTGATGGAAAACATTTGGAAAAATAAAATGTCAACATAAAATCTTCAAAAAAAGGCAAAAATGTTCATCATAATTTTTTTACATCTGACATTTGATCTGACTGAAATGACATGCTGAATTAGGATCTTTTTGAAAACTGAAAAATAAGTTCTAAAAATTTCTTTTGAGAATTTTTTATTTTTCACTTTTTCAGGAAGTGTTTCAATCTCAAAAAAAATCTATTGCTTCATATTTGGAAGCAAATATGTATTTTATTGTTTTTTGGGAAGTTTTTATTTCCTGCTGTACACCTTTGCCTCAATTTTTTCCTGACAACAACTGCACACATTCTTGCCTGTCAACCCCATCAAATAATATATAATATTGTTACTGTTAATGTTTGCCTACAATATACTGGCTGTGCCACTTTTTTTTCTAAATGAAATAATATGAGTTAAAACTCCCCTTATTCTAGCTTATGTATGTAGTATATTTATGCAGCGGTTGGCGCTGTTTAAAAGTGAACTCAAAAGTGTCATTCAGCAGTGGTAGCTAGACAAACAAATCATAGAAACAAGCAGAAACTGTTGCTGCCAGCATTTTGTCCCTATGCATAAAGCAACAAAGCAGCACAGTCAGCATTATCCTTTCACAGAGCTGCAGCCGGCCCTCTGGCTGCCCTGGTCAGCAGGATGCTCCAGTGAAGAAGCTCAATGCCAGGCCTGGCTCTCCACTCTTCTGCTACAGCCGTGGATTTTCCAATGTTTTATGTGATCTAAGCCTAAAACACATACAGGAGCCACAGTGTGAACACACGGCCCAATCAGATCTGACTTGTCATCCAAGTACAGCAACTTCGATTTGTGAGACGAGTTTTTTTTTGTCTTTGCTTGGTTACTGGTGGTTCTGAGACATGAAGTTAATCCTCCAGAGTACTTGTAGATTAGGTAAATGTTTAAAATGTTTAAAATAGTACAATAGTAGTAATAGTACACCGGTACTTTGTACTGATTTATGTATTGTGAAAATAAAAGATAAATCAATCCCGAGAGCTTTCTTATAACTCTGAGACAAAGATTATCAACAACTCCGCTCTTTTCTTAAATATTTCTGTTGAAAACCATCATGTGTGAGTACACATGAGCAATGGGGGGCAGAGGTCAATGCAGAAGGGTGAATTGATTTTGTTTTGATTCGTACTATTGTGTACCGACCCCTCCCCTGTGATCAGTGGGGCCCCTGTGTTCCGGGGCTGTTATAAAAAAGACCCCTGAGTTGCCCCTGCTCTGGTAAAGAGGCTTAATATCTGTAGGAGATGCTTGACGTTTGTCCGCCCGTGTTTTACTAACAACCAACAGTGGTCTCACGTAGATGCACAGAGACTGGCGGCTCGCTCCAGTCGGGAGCATTCTCTGACAGCAGATTATATTGGATTTGTTTGCAGCTACAAGTTGAGCAGGATATGCGTTCTGACAGTTAGCTTTACAGAAGCTTTCCCTCTCTTAGACTCTTTAGTCACGCTTTAGTCCCGGTCTACGTTGTGCATCTGATTTCAGTTAATAGTTCTTATTGTTTGGACTCTCTGACACCATGTGGGAGTTCAGGTCCATGTCTTTCTGGCGGGCGGTGTTTGCCGAGTTCTACGGCACCATGTTCTTTGTGTTCTTTGGTCTGGGGGCAGCCCTGCGCTGGACCACTGGACCCTATAATGTCCTTCAGATCGCCTTTTGCTTTGGGCTGGCCGCCGCCACGCTTATCCAGTCCATCGGCCACATCAGTGGAGGACACATCAACCCTGCCGTGACATTCGCCTACCTGGTTGGCTCCCAGATGTCTCTGTTCCGTGCGTTCTTCTACATCGTAGCCCAGTGTCTCGGTGCACTGGCCGGCGCTGCCGTGCTCTACGGGGTCACACCTGGAAACATGAGGGGGAACCTGGCGCTCAACACAGTAAGATTAGCTCAGATAAATCAGATACAAGGAGTGACCTCAACAGAACCTCACGTTGTGCATGACAATTTGAAATGGTCTCACCCTCCAGCTGCAGCCGGGCATCAGTCTGGGCATGGCCACCACCATGGAAGTCTTCCTCACCCTGCAGCTCGTTGTCTGCATCTTTGCTGTAACTGACGAGAGACGGAACGGACGCCTTGGATCTGCTGCCCTCGCCATTGGCTTCTCTGTGCTCCTGGGGCATCTTCTCGGGGTAAGCAGGGGCAACAACAGGCCTTCATCTAATTATTGTACTGCATCACATATTGATCTCATATT